AATGCTTCAGTTGACCATGAATTTTTGGAGTTTTCAAACAAGGTCCAAAAAGGAAATGTTGGATGAGTTTGGTGTGGAAGAACTTGATTGACCCACATAGAGCCCTGATCTCAACCCCATCAGACACCGTTGGGATGAACGAGAACAGAGATTGTGAGTGTCCCACATTGGTGTCTGACCTCAGAAATGCTCTTCTGGATGAACGGGCAAACATTTCCACAGACACTTTAAAATCTTGTAGAAAGCCTTCCCAGGAGAGTGGAAGCTGTTGTAGCTGCACAAGGCTCAATTTGAATGGGATGTCGTAAATGCTCCTGTAGGTGTAATGTGTAGATAGGCTCACGCAATACTGCTGTCTATATAGTGCATGTGATAAAGCAAAATAAACAGCTTGCTTATGGCCTAACTGTCCTGCTGCCTGGGTTAATCTATGGGATGCCATTAGGTTACTTTGTTTAGGTTGTTTTGCATGGCCAGAACAGTTAAACATGTTACATATAGAGTAAAGAAACGGTCCACTTACTTCGATACACCGAATTTTAGTTGTATGAATCAATGTTTAGGTAGCAGCATTACAAAAAGAAAGTTCTCGTCCTTTGTGTCCTTTGCTGCAGTGCAAAAACAACACCCTACTTCAAGTATTGAGGAAAAATGTCGGTAAAAGCTCACAACCAAGGACACCTTGACAGAGAACCTGTGCTGCTAAAACGCATCGAGTAGATGGAGCCAAATAAAATGAGGAAGTACTGCCAAGCGGCTTTTTCACTTTTGGGATTGATATGGAAAGCTAGAAGATGAACAATACCAATGAAAGCAGTGAGCTTTATTTGTAGAAAATAATTAAGTAATTGACCAGGTTGCAACAACGAGAAACTCCACACTGAACACATTTTGCAAAACGTACAGCACCAGGGTTTGTTTGAAACAGCTGTTCTGATTCAGTCACAGTAAAAACAGCACGGCAACATCCCCACGAGTATGACAAACTGGTGGTTGACTGCATTGAGTGTACAAGACTATCAACCTATGGATGACTAGTTTTGATGGCAAGCCAATTGCACAGGTTGCCCGGTGGGAGGTAGCATGCCTCCAAACAATCCTGGTCCAACTTGGACTGAGTGCAGTCACTCTCAGACAGATTAGTGAAGGTTTGCAAAAATTTGCCAGACAGATTGCCAACTGGCTGGGTTCAGTTCATGTGAATTTCTGTTTAATGCGAATTTCTGTGTATGCAAACAGCAACAGATTTGCAACAGATGGGAACAGATGAGCGATTTATAACAGTTAATTGGCAGATTACAGATTGCTTTTAACTGCCAATTTGACCAATTACAAACTGATAGTGGACTGACTCCATCCTATTGTTGCTTTGACTGTTGCAACACACCAGGACTTGCTTTGACCTGGTTCTCATCTTCATAGCAGCTGTTTCAAAGACAATGAGAGCGAAGTTTATTGCACACAGGTGCCATTGTCTCCAACCACTGGTTTCTGGATCACGACTGTAGATATAGGGCATCAGGGGATTGACTTTTTGCCTTTAAAAAAAGTCTATAAGTCTGTACTCAGTGTGTTTAGCAGGGCTGGAAGTTAAACTTGTTTACATTATGAGCTACCTTGCATAAAAAAGTGCTCTGATGGATCTATAATTAATAATGTAAGCATATGGATGTGCTGGGAAAACTGCAACGTTTTTATGGTGGCACTCTAAAAAACAGCAACTGAGTTTCTATATCTGTTCGGTTTAAGACAAACACAACTTGGTCTGGAAGGTTAAAATTAGATTTTCCTTTGGGGCAAAACTACTTTGTAAAGGTCAGCATACTTTCTGATGCCCTCAGTCTCTGGACAGCATCACATCACATCCTTAATCAGGGTCATAACTTTACAGATATTTGTAATACACCTTTAAATCTATCTGATTTAAGAATTTAAATTAGTTTTGACTGTAATGTCCTCTTCTCCATGCACATTACAAATAAATGAAGCAGGGCCAGAAACATCTACTCAGCTTGCGCATTACTAATGGGATGGAAACGCCACAAGGCATTCTAGGTCTGTTGCTGTTTACGTTATACCTAGTGAGTAATGACCTTTTTTGTTTTTTAAATGTAGTTTTATATAAACTTTGCCTGGTGAAGCACCTCCGCGATAAGCTGTGGCATCACCCAGGAGGATACGCACAGAGAAACAGACCTAAATAGCCTCTGGTTTACAGAATTACAAACGAGCTTCTTGGGCGGACACGAATGAGAAGTGAAAAAGTCTGTATTTCAGTAAAGGCAAATAAGACTCACTTCTCCATCAAAACATACCCATCAAACACACCCACCCACACACTCGCAGCGTTTGTTCTGGTTGATTAGCGTTCTGCTACTGTAGAGTACACGTGGGCGGATCTGTGATGGGAAGTGGAGCAAATTTAATGGTTGCAATAGGAGAGTGAGAAAGACACCAATCAGTTTTTACACACCCCGTCAGTCCTGAGGAGAGGTCTAATCAGGTAAAATAGGTGAACAAACATTATTAATAAACAAGAGCTCAACAGAAAAAGGCTACCCTCGCTGACCAGTATTAATCTTGACCGCGTGGACGTTATCTCTTCTTGTTCCAACTTTCCTTTTTCCCTTCGCAGACATCCCTACGTCCCGTTATCCACAGTCACACCAGGAATCCGTCTCGCTCACTTTCTGCTCTGATTGACTGTCATCACATCTGACAGCACAGACGGGAGAAAGATGATAAACAAGACGTTTACACCACGGAGACATCCACGCCTCACACACATGCAAACACACACCATGTACACCGTGGAGAGGAACGACGAAGTACGGAGCCACACACTCAGTCTGAGCTGAATTTGACTGATAGCTGATAACCTAAAGCTGTTCTACCTCAAAATCTTTCATCATAGTCATCATCTGGCTTTAAGTGGTTTATTCTGTTCATTGTTTTACAACAGTTCACTGTTCAATTTTACAAGGAGGGACCTGCAAGGCTGAATTAATCAGGATTTTCTTTGGGGAAAATGTCAGGGAACTGGTATTGTCATGTGAACGAGCGTGTGGTGATCAAAGTGTGAAGGACGTCAAAATCACAGCTTCATTTAAATGCGGGTAAAAAGGCGAAGGAAACAAAAACCCGAAAACAACAATGGAGCCGAACAGGAACAAACGACGACTGGAGAGTCACACACCATGAGAGGACCCGACATGAACACAGGAGGAGATTAGGGCAGAGTGGACACACCTGGAGCACACAGCTGAACAGACTCATCACTGATGAGGACGTGAAACTGACCCTGAATCAAAATGATACAGGAAGTGACTAGCTCAGAGACTAAGGCTGTATCCCAATTCAGGGTCTGCAGCCTTAAAGTACGCAGCCTCAATGATCCTCAAGGGCCGCATACTCAAAGACCGCTAAGGCCGGAAGTGCGAGGCTTGTGAAATGGGATGGTCTAGCCTCTGTTGCGCTGCCCAGGTTGCCTAGCAACCATGATACTAACAGCTGGAAACGTTTCATACAGCTTTGTTTGACAGAAATGAAGGAGAAAATCTTTTGTTCATTTGTTTGTTTCTACATGAGCTTTGATCATTCTCTGATTGAGCTCAGCTATTGAACGGCGTATATTTTAAAGTAAAGGCTTTAAAACCAAGTTAGTACAAACGTCACTAATGTCACATAACTTTGCCGACATGTGGCCAACAGTAATGTTTTAATGTTCTTCGTTATTAAACATTTGCACATAAATAAGTGACATAATATTCAGTACTTAAAGTTTACTCTTCGGCTGCCCCTCATCCGCCCTTTTTTTTCAGCAAAGTTATCCACACCCACCGCCGCGCTATGCATTCTGGGATATGTTGGGCCACGAAGTCTACACCGCCACATCCTTAAAATTCAGGGAAATGAAGGACGCATTTCATGGCCGCATTTCGAGCAGCCTTTGAATTGGGACAGCCTTCGGCGCACCGCTGTGACGTAATCGGCCTTGAAATGCGGCCTTTACGGCTGCAGACCGTGAATTGGGATACAGCCTAAGACTAAGACATGAACTTGTCAGAACAGACGGGGAAAACAGAAAACGATGGAGACAGAACACAGGGACACGACTGGGACATGACTTCACATAGGTGATACCAATCACAGAGACGAGATTAGGACAGACTGGAAACGAAGGGGAACTAACATGAAGAACCAAGACATATACATAGCAAAAGTCAAAGGGTTTCAGGACCTTGAACATATCTAATTCCAGATAACCAAACCAAAAATCCAGAACAGGCTTCAAATAGTGTGTCAGAGACCCAGGACCATGACAATTAATGGGAGAATGTCAGGGAACTAGTATCGCCAAGATTTAACCACTTTTTATTAAAAATGGAATATTCTCCCAGAATAATCATATTAGCTGTTTTAATTTTTATTGCTGTACCACTTAAGTACTGCAGTAAAACAACTCATAAGTGCCTTAATCCTGCATTCTCTTTAATGGCCTACAGGGGGCGACTTTTCTAGTTGCAAAATAAGCCTGATTGTGTAGAAGTCTGTGTGAAAAAGGCTCTCAGCTCCTTTTAACTGTTATGTGAATAAAAACCTCGCGTTTTGTGATATGTTTGTGGTCTCGGTTATACTCTGAAGTCTTACTGAATACAAGAGGGTGATCATTTTTGCAACTTATTGGTATTATTAAAGTCAGAAAGGGCATCAAAGCAGTGTAATCTTTACGCTCCTGCCATAGGAGTGCAGTTGAAGTGTACCTCAGTTTTGTCAATCCGATTCACATTCATTCAAATGCTTTTCCATTAATTAATTCCCATAAATTAATTTGTGCCATCTGTGCGGTGTACCGATGTGATGGATTGATCTGGTTTTCTGTGAGCACTTTATTTCACTACACTGCTGCAGTATTTGTGAACTTTGACGTGAACTCAGGGTACATCTGTTCATGTATTGCATGAGACCGAGTGCTTGCTGTGTGCCGTGGAAAGACTCACCGCAGCTCTTTGAACGGCTCAGCTCTGACATGCGGCGTCTCCACTGATTTGCTGAACACGGCTCCTTCGGCTCCTGAAATCACAAAACACAGAATCAAACCACAAACCCCTCCTGTCCGATCAATGGACATAATCTCCAACACTCTGCTGATCTATACGGCTCCAGTCAGCGGGCACAGCGGCCCTCGGCTCAGCTCGCATCACTGATATAGTAGACACACACACGGATACACACATTTGAGATGAAAAAAAGAAGAAGCAACAATCGGGGCAAATAATAATGTAAAAATAAGCTTTGTCTGCTGTTTAGATTCCTTCAGCTTTTCTTCATCACCTCCTCTAAGCTGTGAAGTGACTCTCAGTGAGAGAAAGAAGCAACTGCTCTTGTTTCATGAAGGAACCCAGTGTGTGTGTTTCAGACATCAACATTATTGAAAAAAGAGAAAACACGAGACGAAGTCCCCTCCAAAGTCGAAACTTTATTAATAACCCACAATTTCACTGTTCTCAGAACTCATATTTACTTCCCGATATTTACTTCCCTCTATCTTTAGACTCACTGTTTGGAAAAGCAGAAATCATCTTATTGGTGTAAAGTTCAGTAGTTCTGCAGAGAGCTGTGGTTCTCAAATGACATGCCAATAAAAAAAACAACAACTTCAACTTATAACCGCACAAAAAGTTGTAAATGATTTACACACACACACACACATTTCCCCTAACAAACCACCAGTGCAGACAAACTAAGGACCAGCTCAAGAGAAAAGCTGCTGGTCTTTTGGTTTCACCCAAACTGGACACACCAACAGCACTCAGTCCCAGTTTACCATCTACTGGAAGGTGTTGGCTAATGCTAACATGTTGCTTAGCACACACCTGGACAGCAACCATCTCTTCTTTCAAACATCCCAAGTCTTAAACTCAAACATGTCTGCCCCTGGCTCTAATTCTACTGGACGCCGCTTCCTGTTTAAAGGGAGTTCTTCCTCCCCACCATTGCCAAGCGCTGCTCATAATGGATTGGTGGTTCATTGGGGTTCTTTTTCTTTGATGTACAATATAAACATCTTACTACACTCGGATCTTAATCGGACATAGCAAGAGTGATTGTTGAACTGAGGGAAAGTTTTTGCTCAGATAATGTGCTTAACAGACTTTGTTTTGGTATAAAATGCATTGAACAGGTTGAGAATTGCGGTGATAACATGAACTGCAAAGAAGTGTGATTGCCAAGCTTCTCCTGGGTACCAAGAACATAGGAAGTATTTTCTAAATCTTCCATCTGAGCCTGAGAAACACTGGTCTCAACATCTTTTATGTAACACTGACCAGGCCTTTGTAAGATGGGAATGATGCCAGCTCTTATTCTTGACTCCAGGCTGTTTCTTATGTTAGACTACTGAAGAACTGAGAAAAACATAAATGTTATTTTTGTTTTCTGATTTTCTTTGGATGGACAAAAATAACACCGATATGTGGATTCATACTCACGACTAACTTTTTGCGTTTTTATGACGTGTATTAAAAATGACAGCCTAAACGAGGCCATCAGCTAAACCATATTCTGGTTGTTTCTGACATTCTGAGTTCCTAAATCTCCTTCATATGACTTATAGTGCAGTGCTTGTTAAAATACAAAGTAATGCTCAGGTGGTCCTCAACCCTGGGCCCTGATCGATTGTAGCACCAATATAGCAGCAGCAGCGGGTCGTGTAAACTGGAGCATTCAGGGACATCAAATCAGCCAAGCATCAGGTGCAGATCAATGGGCATGACTAAATACATTTCAAAACATTTTGACACGCTTCTGGAACCCCAAACACTCCTCGCTGTGAGACAGGCTTTTTAAGTACCACGACAGATGAGGACTAAAAGAAAAAAATTCCAATTATGTGAGACACAATATTTGCAGACATTTAACCTCAATTCAGAGCGATGGAGTGTGTTTGTACAGGTGAAGCCAGCGTCCCTCTCAACCCGTCAAATCTTTGACATTTCTATTATGAGACTGTCAAACCTACAAGAGACCAAAAGGTAACAGGTGATGACAGATACAGTACTGGAGCCACATTCTGCTCCTCCTCCTTTTCTGACTCTGAGGAAGACCATCATTTACAAAATGAACACCATGTTCATCAAGTTCAATAAAACACAAGACTTATGACTAAGACCAGAAAGTCATCAGGAAAATTACTTAAATCCATTGGTTATAAAAAAGTTGTTCCCTGTTCAGAGCAGTCTGGCCATTCTCCTCTGACCGCTGACATCAACAGGACATTTTCTCCTAGAGAACCTCCGCTCGGCGGATATCTTCTTCTTTTCAGACCATTCTCCATAAATCCCAGAAATGGTAGTGTTTGTGCCAGACAGGGATCTACTGGGATTTTCAAACACCCATGCCACCTTTCAAAGTCTCTTAAATCTTTCTCACTTTGACACTCTGTTTGAACTTTAGCAGGTTGTCTTGATCACGTCTACATGCATAAATTCATGAGCTGCTGCCAAGTGAGTGGCTGATAATTGCTTCAAAGAGCAGTTGAAAAGGTGTGCCTAATAAATTGGCTGGTAAATATATATGACTTTAATGTCAATTTTTTTGCTACATTCTTTGTCCTCATAAACATAAACAAAGAGCATAAAACAGCTCAAATATATCAAATGAAGGGTTTCGTTATTTAAATAATTAACCATGAAGTTAAATATACTTGGTATAAATCAATGTATACCCATCAAGTTGTCATGGTCCGTGGTCCTGTGTCTGTGGAATGCGTGATGCTCGGGTAGCCACACCCCCGGGCTGGGCCATCACCAGCACACCTGCTCTCCATCCCGGTGATTACACGGAGATCCACGGCGCTGACGGATGCTCCGGACTGGCGTGGAGCACGCCAGTCCGTAGTCATCCCCACAGTGGTTTCTACTCGGCGTCTGCTACCTGCCTGTCCTCCGGCTCAACTGGATCTCGCGGTGCTCACCTGGCCCACTCGCCATTCCACGGACTTCCTGCCCCCACGGACTGCCACACTTCCCTCCCGAGCTCCCACGGTTCCGTTCTATCGTAAGGCCCTACTCTAACTCAGTCCTGATATGTTCTCCCCGCTTCCTGGCTCCCTAGTAATCATCTCCCCTTTCTATTGCAGCCCCCCGCCGTCCCGATCCCGGCTTCCTCGTGTCATTGTTTCCCCGGATTTTTAGTTTTTAGTCTGCGCCTGGATCCTTTCGTGCCCGCGCACCACGGCGCATGACACAAGTAGGTTTCATTTGAACGGTTTCCATTACATTTACTGTTTTTAACAACTCTATATACCGTATTTTTCAGACTAAAAAGGCGCACCGGATTGTAAGGCGCATTAAGCGAAACAAAACAGTCAGATAAGTCAAACTTTTCTCAACTCATTCTTCTTGCCTCCTCCACTTCCGTACCATTGATTCATTAATGTTGAATTATCTGGCAGCTGCTCTATTCCCATGTTGTTGCAGTATATTAATGGCTAACCTCGTATTGTGGATGGATGATCTGAAGTTTGGTCCGTTTACAACATCCTACGTTGCGATTGCATTTGTCCATAACCATCGGGAATGCTCACGTTAACAAGTGGAAAAAGGTTAGCGTTCATCCTCCAGCTTCACTGTGTTTATGCTATGCTAACATAGCTGTGTAGCTAGCTAACGTAGCACATCATTATATACCATCTAGCCCAACTTCAGTAACCCTACAAACGTCACTGCTGTTTAGTTTCCTGTCTTCATTTATGTTGGAAGTGATAGCAGAGCTGTACGTCTTAATTTTTTCAGAAATCTCTCAGTCAGAACATGCTATATCATGTTTAGATGAAAACTAGCGAGCTAACTCCCTGCTAACTTCAAACTCAGTTAAATCTAATAAATTCTGTTTTAATGACAATAATAATGGATTGCATTTATATAGTGCTTTTCAGGGCCCTCAAAGCGCTTTACAATTCCACTATTCATTCACTCCCACATTCACACACTGGTGGAGGCAGCTACAGTTGTAGCCACAGCTGCCCTGGGGCAGACTGACAGAAGCAGGGTTGCCATATCGCGCCATCATTTTCATGGATGCCTGGATGCTAAAATTAATTGTTACACCTGGTAAAGCAGCAACGCTGATCATTTTAATAAAGACGAAAGAATTTAGACAGTTTTAAACTCTCAGTGATGCCGCAGTGTTCGTTTGACTTTGGGACCTGAAGGGACGGAGTTTTAGACAGGATACTCCGCGAGGCTCCTGACTATGGTAGCTGTAACGCTCCAACAATCCATCAAGAGGTGCGGCTTCGTAGCTTACCAAAGTCGTACAAAAACACTTTTTGACAGATTTCTTGAGCGCCGTCTACCACATAAAATCGGTTCGAGGTCAGTAAGCACAACCAGAATTCAGACATAAGGCACACCGGATTATAAGCCGCACTGTCGATTTTTGAGAAAATTAAAGGATATTAAGTGCGCCGTGGAAAATATGGTATACAGATTAGTGAGCATTTTGGGCATAAATATTTGAGTGTACACTGGCATTCTTTTATATACAGAAAGAAGCCATTTCTTAGTAAATATAAAAAATATATACATATAAAGAATATATGCTGCTAATGTTGGTAGAAACAAAGTGCAACACTAGTTTTGAAGCTACTGAAAGTCTTTAACAGCACACTCACCTGTACAGAAACAGATTAGTTTGTTCGATGTGTATTTTTTATTTAAAAGGCATTTAATGCACAAAACTCCCCGATGTGTGGATGTTTACACTCCTGGTCCTTCGAGAACCCTTTTCATTACGCAGATCAACCTGTCAGCCATTCAGGGAAATAAAATCTGTTTACACAAAGTGGTGCTCCAGCTCGGCCTTATGGGATAGATGACTCTCCTCTTAATCACTGCTACAGGTGAAGCTGCTTCTGTTCTGCTTTGGTTTTCACCCAAATGGGCGGCAGTTGTCACGACAAGATCAGCAGCATCGGATGTTTCACTTTGTGTGTCAATATATTTTACAATATTTCAGTCCACGCTGGAAATAAATGGGAACAAGTACTTTATTCTTTTCAATCTGCATTT